GCGGCGTAATCCGGCGATGGCCGAAAAAAATTATCAGGATCGATTGCCTTGTGTGTGCGAGCTGGTGCACGTGTAACACGAGAAAAAATGGCAGGATTTTCGTTGAGATAACCGTCCACCCGTCCTCTGGTCATGTGCCAATAAATAGAGATTATGCGTTCATCTCTGGTGTTAAGATTTTTTTTTCACGTATGACACCGGGTAGATTATGCATGCCATTAATCCATCAAACCTTCTTGGGATTATGCTCTTAATCAATCAAATCAACCATTTGACATTTGCCGTCGCCCTTTAGCGAAGGTCAAGAATGCCAAGATATTTCCTAGAATATTAGTTGAATACTGATTTCCAGCATTTGTCGATTATCCGTAGTATGACCTTGATGGTCAATCTGATTAGGAATTTCTAATTCCTGATATGTAAAACTTCATTCTCCTTTCCACGGAGCTTTCCACGGAGAAGCCGATCCAACAGCAACAGTAAGAACCAAAGTTTTTTTTTTTCTACATCCATAGACTTATCGTAAAACAACCCGGGGAATGCGTGCACGCTAAAACAGATCTTGGGTGATGGAAAGGTAATGGTGTCGAAAAAATTAGCCACACTCGATTCCCAAACCTGTTCCCGTGATGCAACGTGATTCAAGAAATAGCAAACCATCCAAATATTTACGATTTCTGTATCGCGCTTTGTTTTACATATATTGTGTATATGCACAACAAATGGTACGTAACACGACAATTTAAGGACGATAATGATCAAAAAAAATAAACATGCATGTACCGTACATACCGAATCTCGCAATCGATAATCAAAATTCGGGATAAATTATGATGAGAATTGATAACTTGGCGGATTACGTGAAGATAATGATATCAGCAATAAACGTAACGAAGAGACAAAGACAGTTAAGGAGGCGAAAGTCGGAGGTGACAGAAAGAGTCAACTGGTTTGTTTTTCTTTTTGAATTCTTTTAGAATGAACATCAAATTAAGGAAATTCGAAATGCGGAGGGTAAGAACCAAAAAGAAATAAAGTTAAGGCAAATAAATAAAATCTAATGTTTAAAAGAATTATGATTTCCGTCGCACACACGATTGACATGTTGATGGATGTTAT